GAATGTTTTTACAGCATTTTACAGTGGCCACTGTGAGGAAAACTTAAGTGCCAAAAGCTGGACCCAAAATTCTATGTCAGAGAATTTATAAATCTTTTAATGAGGAGGTTTTTGTAAAAGACATACAAGAGTCGAGGTGGGATATCATATGTGCCATACAGGAAACTGACGCTGCTCTTGAAGTCTTCACAGACATGGTCATGAAAGTAATTACAATACACTACAGGCCAAACAGTTGGGAGTAACTTCAAGTTTTTGTTTACAATGCTTTTTTAAAAATCCAGCATGAGTTTTATGTATTTTGGGATGTATTTACTCCATGATCAGATGTTGCTTTCATGGAAATGCACCATTTTACTCCATTTACCTTTAGATATACATTGATGTTAACAGACCATTGCTAAATATATGTCAGCAAAAGATAATAAGGGCTTAGTTTTAGGGTTGAAAACATTTGCAAGAGTCCCAACTTCAGTGCAAAAGCAAAAAAAGCAAATAACAGTTGGATTATTCACTTCAACTTTTTGGCTTTTGAGTTTCTGCATACAAAAATCTTAATAAATCTCAACTGCGTTCAAACTACCGCAAAAATGGCAAGAAAGAAGCAACTGAGTAAAGAAACAAAAGTACAGATTTGTACATTGAGGAAAGAAGGATACACAGAAAGAGAAAATTGCAAAATGCCTAAAGGTGTTTAACAAAGGAGTCCACTACACTCTGAAGAGACTAGAGGAACCTGGAAGTTATGATGATAGAAAAAGGCCAGGAAGAAAGAGGGTTACTACAAAAGCAGAGGATAAACATACTATTGTCACCAGTAAGAGAGATCAGCAAAAGACAGCACCAAAAATAAGGGAGGAAATCAACATGACAAGGTCGAAACCCATATCTCTGACAACGGTGAAAAGACGTTTGAGAAAGGCTGGTCTGAAGGGTTGTGTATCTGCAAAAAAACACTACTTCATCCACAGAACAAGAAAAAGAGATATGAGTGGGCAAAAGCTCACAAAAATTGGACTTATGATGACTAGAAACAAGTTTGCACTGTTTGGTTCAAAACGCAGAGTCTATTTTCGCAGACAAACTGGTGAACGTCCGAAAGCACCAGGTGTTACACCCACAATTCAGCATGGAGGTGGTAGTTCCATGGTATGGGGATGTTTTGCAGGTGATAGAGTAGAAGATTTGTTTGAAGTAAAGGGTGTCATGAAGAAGGAACAGTACCACTCCATCCTCCAGCACCATGCTGCTCCATCTGGACTCAGACTTGTGGTTCATAAGTTTGTTTTGCAGCAAGACAATGACCCAAAGCACTCTGCCAAGCTCTGTCAGGGTTACCTAGACAAAAAAGAAGAGGAAGGTGTTCTTCAAAAGATGGTTTGGCCCCCTCAGTCTCCAGACCTTTCTCTAATTGAGCTTTTGCGGGATGAATTGGATCTATCAGTCAGAAAGGCGTGTCCCACAAATCAGCAGTCTCTTTTTAATGAACTTAAGAAAGCTTGGAATGCAGTCCCTGGAACATACCTTAGAAAACTTGTGGAACGAATGCCAGGTATATGCCAAGCTGTTGTTAAAGCCAGAGGAGGTTACTTTAAAGAAAGCAAAGTCTAAGCAAGAAAAACTCAAATACCTAATAATTATAGTCAAAATGTCTTCTGATAAGTTACACTTCACACAATAATCATGTTTATTGTGTTGCAAATTATATATATGAAACTATGATTTTTTTTATACAAATCTGATCTTGCTTCCAAACGTCTGGCCTGTAGTGTACATGCACCACTTAGAAAGTTCACTGTGAGGGGCAACTCTGCCCCTTGGATTGAGAGGCACTATGACTGAGATAGAAAACACTAAATTGGCAGCCATAAGATCCAGTGACCATTTGGATTGGATAAAGAACTATGTAACTAAAATGAATAGATCAAAGAAAAAAAGCACAATTTCAAGATATGCTATCTGAATACAAGAACAATAGGAAAAAACTTTGGACCAATACCATGATAGGCGGGTGTAAAAAAAAATCCTCCTCATTTAAAGAGGCTGATGGTGTTTATCTGACCAAGCCTTCTGAAATTGCCAACTATTTCAACACCTTCTTCACTGATAACGTGTCTAATCTAAGGAGTAAGATGAGCTGTACTAAATATGATATGAGAAATTCTACTTATTTAATCACAGATAATATCATGAATGATAAAAACGCACTCCTAAATAAAAAACCTGTACTAGCTGAAAAGGTAAAACAGCTCCTGATATCAGTAAAAAATAAACTATTTGGTCTGGATAACATTGATAATGGCTGAACATATCTCAATACATGTGTGACACATCTTTAATTGTAGTCTCAGAAGCGGAATCTTTCTAGGGCATGGCGAGCAGCTGAAGTTATTCCAAACATAAAGAACAACAAGAGTGCCTTTAATAGGTCCAATTGCAGACCAAACAGCATCCTTCCTGTGCTCAGTAAGATACTGGAGAGAATTGTATTTGATCAAATATTGACATATATTAAAAGTTGTTGGTGCTGTATTGATTGATTTCAGTGCAGCATTTGAGCTTATTGATCATGAGCTTCTTCAAGCAAAACTATGTGCTTATGGGTTCAATGTCAATGCCATGGGCTGGGTGAAGAGCTACCTACATGCTAGAACGCAATGTGTATATTTTCAACAGTAACTTTTCCCCTCCTAGACATCTTGAGTGTGAATTTCCACAGGGGAGTTGCCTTGGTCCTTTATCATTTTTTATTTTTAATAATGATTTGCCATTGGTTTTGAATAAAGGAACCATGACTATGCATGCGGACAATTCCACTGTGAGCGCTACAGCGGACAGTTATTGTGAACTTAATAGTCTCCTTCAAAGGAACTTGATTCTGTCTCTCAATGGGCCGAAGGCAATAGACTTGCTCTTAATATAACAAAAAATTAATTCCTTACCTTCAGCTCTAACTCCATGCTTACAAGGAATCATCATCTGTCCTTACACATCAAGGACACAGCTCTTGAGCAAGTGCATAGAATCAAACTCTTTGGACTGACTATTGATGAGAAACTATCTTGGACTACACATATTGATAATAGAGTTCTCAAAATGGGTAGAGCTGTTTCAGTGATTACCTCCGCCAAGGAGGTTATGTTTTCGGTAGTGTTGGTTTGTTTGTTTGTCTGTGACCAACTTTACGGAGAAAGTTACAGACGGATTGACCTGAAATTTTCACCAGAGGTGTGTCTCAGCCCCAGGAGGATCCCATTACATTTTGGTGGTGATCCGAATGGCCTTCTGGATCCAGGAATTTTTTGAAAGATTCTTTATCATTGTGAAATAGGGCAAATTTTGGAATTTTTGCATTTAACTCTATAAAAATGGCCAGAGTCTTTAGTAAAAAATTACACAAAAGGATCTCAATGAGTTTTATGAGGTGTCAAAGGTTGATCCTGATCCAGACAAAATTCTGGATGCTTTGATCCAGAACACACAAAAATAAGAGTGTCATTGGAATTTTCAATGCTGAAAGATAAACAATGAAGATACAAGAAAGTGTACGCTTACAAATATTGCATAATAAATCATGCATTTATGTATCTAATATGAGTTTTGTTGTTTTAGGAACATTATGAACAGTGAACATACCAGTTTAAACGCAAATAAAAGTTAATAAAAGACACGTGACAGTAAAAGTTTTGGTGTGAATCACAATATAAGGGGAGACATGAGCTGCTTGGTGGAGGTCTGCGCTCTCCGAGCGCTTTTCTAGTTAAAAGATGTTCTTTGTACCTGAATAATCACACTAAGAAACGTATAACCCAGGCACTGGTACTGACTCACTTTGACTATTGTTTAAGTTGTATGTTCTTGTGCTTCAAATAAAGACATACACAGGCTGCAACTCGTGCAAAATAGAAACGCATGTCTGGCCCTTTCAGAACCAATGTCAAAGGTATGCATACTAATCTCCAGTGGCTGACTGTGAACAATAGGCTGTACTGCTATCTTCCTTTTTTTTCACAAAGGTTTTACTTTAAATAAGCCCATATGTTGTTGTTTTTTTTCTAGAATCTGTCACATTCAAGATGTTCATAACCATCACACAAGACAGGTTTCAAAGGACTTATTTGTTGTACCTCGTGTGAAATCACGCTCAATGCAAAAAACAGTCTTATACAGAGCCATATCTTGTTGTAATAAGCTACCCGATAATGTTAGAAGCAAAGATTCGGTTACTGTTTTTAAAAAGACAATGCCTGGACAGGCAGACAGCATAGATAATTTTACATCTGCTAATTTCCTATCTGTTCAGGGTTATTTTAAAGATTATGTCTTGTTATAACTGACTTGTCATTGTTAATATTGTTCTTGTGGGTATGTTATTGTTGTATTGATTTGTTATTGTTTTGCTGTCTGATTTTGTATTATTATTATTATTGTTGTTGTTATTATTATTATTATTATTATTGTTGTTGTTGTTATTATTATTATTATTATTAACATTAACATTATTGTTGTTGTTCTATGCAGCTTTTCATATTATTTGGAAGTTTAGTTTCATTTCATGTGTGTTTGATTATTTTATGTAGCTTTTTAAGAAGAGTAGCTGCCACCAGGTGTGTCAGCTAACGGGGATCTTAATAAAATAAAATCAAAGCATCAAATTCAAAATGAGTGAATATTTACAAAAAAATAATAATATTAATAAACAACCAAGTTTTTTCAGTTTGAACATTAAATATATTTTCTTCGTAGTGTATTCAATTAAATAAAAGTAGATAAAGATTTGAAAATCATTGTATTCTGATTTTATTTGTGTTTTACACAATGTCCGAACTTCTATGGGTTTGGAGCTTGTGTAATTTGTTGGTCAGTGCACCGGTCTGCTTGAACATGCTTTCTGGTGGTGCTTAAACAAATAAAACATATTTAGGAAGTTAAAAGTTTAGTCACCTCTCTTCTCCATACATATTATGTTGACTATATATGTTGGAGATTCAATATATGTTGTTATAGAGGAACAGGAGCAAAACTTATCCCTGTTGAATATATGATGGCTTTATCAAATCTGTTCAAACAGCAGTAATACACAGATTTGTTCAGCAATGCAGTTTGTGGTGCATTTAACCTTTTGTGTGTGTTTAGATGGTTTTATTTAATTTACACGAGATTAATGGGCCCCAAAACTAAGTCCTCTTTGTGAAATAGGCCCTCCGTATTCAAGACTGCTGAGGAGAGAGCTGTTATATCAGAGCTGATATAACTTTCAAAAACCACTACTCATACAAATACAAGGAAGTCTGAAACAAGCATAAGAATGTGTCAAAAACCATGGTAGAAATATACACGTCTCCATAAATAACAAACGCTGCACAGCCATAAACTGACATTCAAACTATGGGTATCTGTTTATTTTTCTTTCATAACAAGGATCACTGGGTTTTACCTACCAGACACCTGGAGTAATACAGGGTGATGAACGTTAAAGGCTCATTTTATACAAAGGATACTACATACAGTTATTTCTAATAATAACACAGCATATATCCAGAGCTTCTTACAATACAAGAGCAATTCAGCCAAAAGTGGGAGACCCACAAAGCACTGAAAGGGTCACCAAAACATCTTGTGTAGAAAGCTGCTCTTAACTGAGACCAGGGCTCAGTACAAGCCAAGTACAGGGACCTCTGAGTAGAGGTCTTGAAAGTGCAAAGGTAACAAACTGATAAGCCACAGATCATATACAGCAAAGAGTTTAAATTAATTCATTGAGAATGAGGTGATGCTGGAGGCAGTAGGTGTTTTGAGGATGAGTTGGTGTGCACACGTGTTACATATCTGCCACACATTCACAAAGAGGCACTTTGGTACAAGCACCACGTTTGGAAGTGACAGAGCTAAGGCCAAATGTGATGAAGAATGCTCTTACTACTGAGTCAGGTTACAGGGTTTAGAGCTGAACTGAAAGACCAGGAGATGGAAGTATGTTTGCAACTTCTGTGAGGACTTAAAAGCCTAATGTAATACTAACAAGGGAGCACATGTTCAATACTTCACTACTCACAAACTACTCGGTTAGTAACAATTTCTCTCAGAAGTGTGACAGTATAAAAATATACATTCATACAAAATGTGGGTGACTGCTCATTTCCTCTATGGACATCTAGATAGTCCAAACCAAAGACAGAAAGAGGCTGATAAAGAAAGATGCTGTGAATCCAAGTCTGCTAAATTACACCCTGTTAAAAGACATCACAGAGTTGTTTTTATTGAGCTGCAGCATATACAGGTACAGGGGAGCACTGCCATTAATCATTACTCGTAATCATTAGTCGTGGAATAAGTACTTAGAGGAATGGTCAGGTTTTTTTGAGTGGAGTTGTATGAGGTATATGTCAATACTGAGGAGATGCAGGTCAGCCTATTCAATATTAAAAATTCATGCACCAACACTTATTCCCTCTTTATGTTTCAGAACTACTTCTGTTAGCTGGTTTATGTAATATGATTAGCTATTAAGTATTTTCCTGTTTTATCACTTTACAAAAAAAGTGTTTGTGAAAGCATACATGCATTTCAATGTTGCCTTGTATAAGATTTGGTACCAATATTGGTATTGGTAGAACCAAAGCCAAAAGTATAAGCAAACCCATCTCTAGACTTCAGTCACGCTCTCCTCAGACCATCCTTATGCCCCTCTGGGAGAGTCTTTCTATAGGGGCCTACTGACACCTCCTGGACTATTTAACAAACTGCACTTTTACCCCAACCATGCACTGTTTTCCATTCTTTTGGATGTTCTTCACCAGACCCTGACAAGTTAACCCATTTTATGGGCTCTTCTTAAATGTGATGTGCATATGGAGGATATTACCTCTTCATTTAGCTCCAACAAGCTCTTATTTTTGTTTTATACTCTAGTTTCTAACAGGAGCTCTCCTCGCTTTTGATGATACCCTCTCTTTAACGATACAAAGCAAGTATTAGATACCTGCTTCACATTAATGGCTCAAACCACCACTATGAAGCCATGAGCATATCTGTCATTTATTATTCTTGCTGCCTAGGTTTGGTTCTTTCAGTGTTATCAGCTCATGCACCACAGCAGACCCTTCTTGTATTGAAAAAGCTGCTTTCTGAATTTGTTTGTGTCTTGCAACACAATCAAAAAAATGTGTGATTTTTAAAAAAAAATCATATTCACAGATCAGTGATGGTGTAAAGACACAGATGAGGAGATGGGTAAGAAAATCAAACCTGTCCTCACTGTTTTAATCTAAGGGAATTCAGCAGATGGTATTGTGCCACATTATTTGGCCTGTCATAAAAGGAATGGACTGAAAAACATCTTGTCACCCTCCAAGTTTTTCGGAAGTTTCTGTCTTTCCCAATCACTGTCTATGGGTGTGAAATATATCTCACACCATGAATATGTCAAGCAGTCTATCTCAGTAAGACACGGTGTTGTGTACTTGTGTTTAATACAGTTTGCCTTAATAACACATCTGCAGTGATCTTGTCACAACATAACACTGACACATCAATACTGTTCAACGGAAGTACAGCTGTAGCTACTTTCAGACACAGTGGATCATGACATTTATAGCTGAGGAGTTGACTACAGTTTGACACCACCTAACACTGCAAACAACAGCAGATTTCTCTGTCTTTTTCTTATTATGTTGGCAGATTTTAGCCTATTTAGTTATGGTTTTATCATATTCAAACTATGCAGAACAATTGCTTACTGTGTTGTCGTGAATAATACGGAGTAACAGGTTATTGCACCAAGCTACATCATTGCAATTTGTGAGACATCAGGGGCAAATCAGTGTCAACACCCAGAGGTTTTTACACTCTGAACACTCATGCTGCCACAATTCCTCCAGTATTGCCTAAAACTTCTTTTTAGCGTAATGACTCGTTTAGACTATGCTCACTGGGTGAACTGCGACTCATGTTTGACAAGCTCACCATTAGAGATTTAACTTTCTGTGCATAATAGTTTCTTAGGTTGACTGAGGGCACCTCTTTTATCCCCTCGTTGAAATCACAGCTTCTCATAACGATCTCTAGCTGTTTCTGTCTTTTATAGAAGAGGGAGAATTTATTAAAAATGAGTGTAATTGGAAGCACAACGACTAAGATCCCAGCAAGGATGCAGGCTGAGGCAGTCAGCTTTCCAGCAATGGTGAATGGCACTACATCTCCGTACCCGACAGTAGTCATACTGACAGTGGCCCACCACCAACATGCTGGGATGGTGGAGAGATCCTCATTGTCCTCTTTCTCCACTGTGTAGGCAACAACTGAGAAAAATGACACCCCTACAGCTAGGTAAAGAAGCAGTAGGCCCACTTCCTTATAGCTGTTTTTAAGTGTGGCCCCCAGGGAGCGTAGTCCTGTAGAATGACGAGCCAGCTTCAGGATCCGGAAAATCCGCATCAGCCTCAGCACTTGAGCAACACGTCCTAGGTTGGCTAGTGCGGGACTGCTCTCAATAACCAGATTTATAAGAAGTGTCAAGTAAAATGGAAGTATGGACACCAGGTCAATCACATTCAATGGATGCTCAAAGAAATGAAGAACATCCGGGGCCACCATGAATCTGGCAACCAGCTCCAGAGTAAACCAGCCAATACCAAAGTGCTCCACAGTCTCAAAATGAGGGTCTTCCCTGAGTTGCCCCTCACTGTCCAACAGACTGAACTCGGTCATGCTGTTCATGCACATACTAGTGATGGAGCCAAGCACAACTAGGATGGAGAGGATGCTGATGATGCGACTGGCTATGGAGTAACCAGGGTTATCAAGCATCAACCAAACGCGCCTCCGTGTGCTCCCCAGGAACTGTTTGTCAAACTTGGTTGCGTCACTATAAAACTCCAACAGCTCATCAAAGGATGAAGTGGTGCTCCCCTCGTCACTCCTATCATCCCAGTCCTTCCTTTCCTGGTCCATTTTTTTGTCGTGATAGGTGCTGCTGCAGCACGAGTCAATAAACAGCTCATTGATGCCCCAGTACTCGATCTCCTGACTGAATGAGAAGATGCACAGCTCAGCCATGACATGCAGTCTACCTGTGTTGTAGAAATTGAGTACATAAGGGAAGAGTGCTGGGTTCCTGTCGAAGTAAAACTCTTTCTCTGCATCATCATAATCATCGCACAGCTCCAAAATGGACTCTTTGGTCTCACAGTGGAGTAAACGTGCAAGCCTCGTGTCAGGAAATCGAGAAAGGGTGTTGGACTGGAGACGCCTCTTAAAACCACCTACGTTGATGCAGATGGCAGCGTTGTCATCCATGTGAGCCGCGCTGCATGGTTTTCTCAGGGCCTGACCTGTCATGACTGGACGCATGGAAACACAGACAGAGCAAACAATCACAACTGCACTGAGAGAGGGAGAGAGAGGTGGATGGACAGAAGAAGTGAACCCAAAACGGACACACACATTTAAAGAAAAAAGTGAAGTAAAAGGAGAATTAGAGCAATACATGGTTATTTCATTCAAAGACTAAGTGGGGTTCCTAATCAGCTGCCCATCATGAGCAATAGCATACTGAGTAGTGACAGAAGAAAATGGTAGGTTAGACCAGGATTGTTTTTTCAGGCTGACTGTCAGTTTTTGTTACAGAGTACAATGAGGCCGCTCGGCCAGTATGCAAACTTCACTTGAGAAAGGTGTTAAGGAAGCCATCAAACTGGAAGACCATTTTTGAACAGAGGTAGTGGACTGAGACACTTCCAACGTATAATGTAGTTCTGGGTTTCTTTGTTCAACAATCCAAACATTTCCACCCAGGATCATGTCACTTAAGACCATGTGACCCCACACCAGGGGGAGAACAGGTCAACCACATGGCCAACTTTCAATCCGTATTTCAAACAGAAGAAGGCTACCAGAGTAAAGGTGAAACATCTCTAGGAACTTTAACCCAGTCCAGTTGCCCCTTAGGATCAAGCCTTTAACAACCATGACCTGGATGAATAAAAAAACAATACATAGAGACAAAAAGCCTCTCTAAGGTGTTGACCAGAAGCAGTGCTGAGATGCAAAACTACAGTGCTGACTTAAAAACTTTTGTGTTTTTAAGTCACTCACATTTTAAAATCTATTTTTTAATTAAAACCCAGCTAATGACAGTGTTTCAGAGTGTCTGTGATGGCTTAAGACCAGCTGGTAAGATAATGTGAGCATGAGCGGGCTATCCAGTGCCTGTTTATTTAGGGATGACCAACGCAGGGTGTGTTGATGTTGAGAAATACGCACGATAGAAAGGTTGACATCCAACCCCTACTTCGAAACCACTAAGATGCCTGACAAGAATACTCCAACATCAACTCCATTGACAGAATGTTGCAGTTATTTGGTCAAGTTTTCACGCTACATTAAACGCAGAGACCGAGCCTACCCCTGGAATCCAAGCAGGTTCGTCTTCTGGAGATAGGAGGAATCCTCCATAGGGAGTCGGCGCGGTGAGGAGGAGGGTGCCCACTGTGAGTCGGCGCAAATTCGATGTTTCCTCGAGACTGAAATAAACTAACGTTCCTTTCACCAAAACGTTTCCATTAGGCAGACTAAAAGGACGTTTACTCCTTTAATGGGGACCGCCCGGAGGGTGACTGTAGCTAGTAGTCGTTCACTCTGCGTCCTCCTTGTGCTACATGAATTCGTTACAACAGTATATTCTTGGAGCCATTGATGCTGCTTGGCGTCCTTCTGCTTCTGCGAGGAAATTCTTCCGTCTTACACCCTCTTTTCTGGCTGTCTGTTGCTGCGCAGCAACACGTAGCTCTCTTTCTCTCTCTCTCTCTGCACCGCCCTCCAAAAGACATCTGAGCATCACCGTGATAAAGAGAGGGGTGGGGGGGCGCACGAACATTTGGCTTACATTCAAAACAACTATGATGCGTTTAGGTGTCTCTCTAATGAACTCTTTCTCTTCAAACACCTAAGCTTCAGAGGCTTTATACTGATGGCATGAAATATTGTAAAAACTACTTACTATTTGTAGTACCAGGAAGTGTGGACATGTCATACATTCCCTTTTGATTTTTACAAGATAAAACAGAAAACGAACCACCTCATTTATTTATTTGAACACATCAATCAGCATTCCCGCAAAACACGTAACAATGTAAAACAAAACACGTTTAATGTAAACATACCAGAATAACCACGATAGCTAAAATTTCACCCATTGTCAGCACCTTAAAGGGGCATTTCATAAACTAAGATCATTAACCCATCCATAACCCTCAGCAAAGGGCTCCCAGTATCCCAGTGTTGGTGGCGTAGACCAGAGTGTCAGCTAAAGGGATATTCCAGCGTAAAATTGATTTTGGGTCAAACACACCGAGTTAGACTCCCCCTCGAGAGATGAATGTTGCGGACCGTTTGCTTCTCTATTTATAGTATCTTTAGTAACGACCGCACAATAGCAATACACAGCGGTCTGAGGAGCCACACGCAAACCTCAACCTACAGCCACAAAAAATGCTCAGAACAGCACCTAACTTTATCAACCATACATACAGGGTCTTAGCCACAGCACTAGCCACCAAACATCTTTTTAGCTTTGCCTAATTTCTTTAGCAAAGAGACTGAACACAACTCACCTACTCTCTTCCAGCAGCTGCTTGTTTGCAGCAAGACCTCAGGCCAGTCCATTACAGACTGCAGCAGGGTGACGCAGCTCAAGGAAGAACATTTATGATTATTACTTTGTCATTTCTTTGAAGTAAAACTCACCATATTGATCATTTTGCAGCGCAGACTTGGTAGTTCTTCTGCCTTAGCGTCTCAGTCTGATAGCATTGCCATAAAGAAATGATCATAAATGTTCTTCCTTGAGCAGCATCACCCAGCAGCAGTCTGTTATCACTCCACAATCACTCCAAAATCACTCTTAGATTGCCCAGAAATCTCTTGTAGTTGATCCATGGTCCATCTGTTAGAAAGTATATTGTTTAGGTGAAAATTGCAGGAAAATGTGTTTTTTTTTGTGATTTAAAGAGCTCTAGTGAGCTATTGTTGGTCTAAGATGGCCACAGATAGGCTTAAATAAAAGCCAAGAGGGTCCCCTTTAAAATGATACTGAACACTCTATTGTACACCTTTGAGAAATGTCCCTGCAGTGAGCCTAAACCAGATATACACCAGCGTAAAAAAATCGAATTTATCTTACGGGGTGGTCAACTTCATGAGCTGATAAACAATATTTAGCTGGGCACCGGGAAAGATTGTCATACAAAAATATAATCTACCATCATGATGAACTTTTGCATCCCTGAGGTGCACCAAATAGTGAAACTCTGGCCTTGGGCCCATAGCCCAAATGGCAGATTGACCATGCAATGATTTTAAGAGATTTCTGAGCAAATTTTGAGCAATATTGGAGCAGTTTTGGAGTGGTTGTGGTGGAGTTATTCAGGTAACAATATGGACAGATATCACTTTGGTTGTAGTACAATGAAGAAACAATTTAACAGCAGTTTTGGCGTAATTACCGATGGACCATGGACCCATTACAAGAGATTGATGAGGAACTTTGGAGCAGTTTTGGAGCAATTGTGGAGTGGTTCAGGTAAGAATATGTATTATTTTAACTTTGATTTGAGCACAATTAAAAAACAGTTTCACAGCAATTTTGAGGCAACATCGGATGGCCCATGGACCGATTTCAAGAGATTGATGAGGAATTTTGGAGCAGTTTTGGAGCAATTGTGGGGTGATTCAGGTAAGAATATGTATTAATTTAACTTTGATTTGAGTACAATAAAGATACACTTTCACAGCAATATTAGCGCAATAATAGATGGACCAGGGACAGATTTCAAGAGATTTATGAGGAGTTTTAGAGCAATTTGAGAACAGTTCTAAAGCAATTGTGGACTGATTCAGGTAAGAATAAGGATGGAAATCACTTTGACTTAAGTACAATTAAGAAACAATTTAACTGCAATTTTAGCGCAATTACCAATGGACCGTGGATCAATAACAGTACGATTTCTGAGCAATGTTGAACAAATTTGGAGCAGTTTTGGAGTTATTCAGGTAAGAATATGGATAGATATCACTTTGATTTTAGTAAAATCAAGAAATAGTTTTACAGCAATTTTGGGGAAATATCAAATGGACCATGGACACATTACAAGAGATTTATGAGGAATTTTGGAGCAGTTTTGCAGGGATTGTGGAGGGATTAAGGTTATAATGTTTATGAATATAACTTTGATTTTAGTACAATTAAGAAAACATTTTACAGCAGTTTTGGCGCAATATTGGATGGACCATTAACCGGTTACAAGAGATTTCTGAGCAATTTTCAAGCAGTTTTGAAGCGATTGTAGTGTGATTCAGGTAAGAATATGGACGAACATCACTTTAAATTTGAGTACAATGAAGAAACAATTTAACAGCAATTTTGGTGCCTATACAGATGGACCATGGACTGATTACAAGGAGATTCCTGAGCAATTTTGGATAAGTTTTGGAGTAAGTGTGGAGTTATTCAGGTAAGAATATGGACAGATATCACTTTGATTTTAGTAAAATTGAGAAACAATTTCACAGCAATTTTGGTAACAATAAAGGATGGACTGTGGATCAATAATGTTGAATTTCAGAGCTACATTGGAGTAATCAAAAAAAAAGAAAAAAAAGATTTTTGTGCTATTTCAGTCCTCTGCCTAAATTTTTCCTGTACAAATTATATGCAACATAGGAGAGAATTCATAACATTTGTGGAACTATTGTGGAGAGATTTTAATATATGGAGCATTTTGTGTGGATTTTAAGTGCAATTTTAGAGCAATTTCATAATGATAATTGGCCAAACAGTGATGGACTTTGGATCAACTTCAATGCAATTTTAGTGCGGTTCATCAGATATTTCTAAAGGATATCAGAGCCATTTCAGTGTGATACTTTATCAATTATTGTGCAATTTCAAAGGAAATTTGGAAAAAATCTGATTTAATTTTATGCGTGTTTTCGGAGAAATTTTGAGTGATGATGGAGCGATTGTGAAGTGACCCTGTTGAGAATGAGGAACGATTTTTCTCCAATTTCGGCACAATTGAGGAGCAATTTCACAGTAACTGTAGCACAATAACAGATGGCCCATGGGCCGATTACGGTGGATTTCAGAGCAAAGTTGGAGCAGTTTAAAAAAAGAAAAAATGCTTTTAGAGTTATACAGCAAAGTGATTCACTCATGTTGGTTCAAGAGGGGTTAAGAGTGGGTCCTATTTCTACATGGGATTCAATCTTTTCCCATCTTGAGGTTGGGTCTTTGTAATACTTTAAATAATGAGTTTGGTCTAGATGTCCTGTTTTGGAAAGGGTCTTGAGATAATGATTAGTTGTGAAAAATTGTATAAATTGTTGTGATTAGGAGCTACATAAAAAATTTATTGATTGGTTAGACAATCTTTAAAACACATTGACTGTCACAGTAAGAGTCACAGGTATCACACTAAACATCATGTTTTTTACAACTAAAAAAGAAGTTGTGTATACAAAGGCTGTCCCAATATAGCAGTATTGAAAAAATAAAAACTGATTCTGTGACTAAATTAAGCATTAAGTATTACTTAGAGTTTGTAGTGGCCCTTTATAGTGGCTGTCAGAAGTTATAAAATGAATGAATGACAAAAAAAAGAAACAGTAGAACAAGCTACCTGTAGCAGCCCTCGATAAGAGATGGCTGTCACAATTAAAAACTGACTCTCAAAGATGTATTGGGAATTTAAAAACGTCAGAGCTTTTGCCTCTATATGTTACTTATTGAGCAAATATTTAAACCTCAGACTATTCTGATAATTGTTTTCCTTTCGATCCCCAACTTGTGATCTGCAGGAAATAGCTTGTGCTTTAAAATGAAAGCATAGCTGTTCAGTTTACCATGCAGAAAATGAAGCAACCTGAACACAACCCAGAAAAAAAATAAATAAATAAAAACATGACAAACAAACATTTCTGAGATACTAACCTTTCCAAACAAGTTTCAGTCACTGTTGTTACTGCTGTTTTATTGATTTTCTAATCTCTGTCGCTGACATCTACCTGCCAGAGGGGCTAAAGATGGAAATTAGCCTTTGGCTATAATTTTGCATATTTACATGTTTATGTTCATTAATATGTATTGTCCCTGTTTTAAATAAAATAAATCCTAAATAAATTTTAGGGCTGGGGATACAACGGAGTATTAGGGCCACATTAAGAAGAAAAAAAAGTAAGACCTCGGAATTACTTATGAGAATAAAGTTGTAGTGAAATCATTACTTCCAAGAATAAAGTTGTAGCTAATAGCTAATAGCTAATAGCTATTCTAACCTGTTGTTAGTTGTTCAAATGAGCGCTGTGGAACATTTAGATGAATTGAACTTCAGTAGCTAGGTTTCACAAACAAGGAGATAAATCCTTTGGTGTTTGAGCATCACACTGTCGTAAGTATCAGGACATATGCAAGAAATGCATCTTTTTCACAGAAAGAACCAGGCGGACTTGTAGGGAACTGCTGTTTATTAGGAGGGGGAAATGGCTGGAAATGGCTGTGCAGAGGCTAAATCCCTCAATGCAGCCATTTATAGCAATAGTATATGGCTTTAGTTTATCGTATAAATGTATATGCCATTAGGTGTTGGTGCCTCTGCAGGTGTAGGTTGCTGCCGGTGTTGTGCCAGCATTAGAGACAAACGTGGTGCTCGTCAGAGCTCTACTCCCTCTGAATCGCAAATGTTGATCATCAGTTGAATTGTTTCTTGAAAAACCACAAAATCCCCCTGAATGGCCCACAGATGCACCCATAGATAACTCTGCAGTTGACCAGTTCCAGCCATTTCCTCCTCCACAAAAGCAGCT